AGCCTTGGCAACATAGCGAGTCCCTGTCTCTATTAATAAAATAAAATAAAATAAAAAGGGAAGGCTAATTTAATAACATGAAGAGGCCAGGGACAGTGGCTTACACCTGTAATCCCAACACTTTGGGAGGCCGAGGCCCGCAGATCACCTGAGGTCAGGAGTTCGAGGCCAGCCTGGCCAACATGACGAAAACCCATCTCTTACTAAAAATAAAAAAAAGTTAACCTGGCGGGTTGGTGGGCACTTGTAATCCCAGCTACTCGGGAGACTGAAGCGGGAGAATCACTTGAACCAGGGAGGTGGAGGTTGCAGTGAGCCGAGATCGCACCATCGCACTCCAGCCTAGGAAACAGAGCGAGACTCTATCTCAAAAAAACAGAAAGAAACAAAACAATCAAATAAACAGAAAAACATGAAAAGAAAAGAACAAGAAAACACCCAAGAATTAGTAGTAGGAAACTCAAGAGAGAGAGTGTTATGGAAACCTGGGGAGGAGATAGTTTCTGAGAGAGATTGGAAAGCAAGATTGTCAAATGCTGCAGACCAGAAACAAGACAAGACCAGGAAGCAGCCCATGAAATTCAGCCCCCAGGAGGTCTTTGACAGCCTGAAGGGGGTCAGTTCCGGGACAGCCACGGGCAAAAGCCAGACTGCAAGTGTTAAAGAGAAAACACAAAAGCAAGGTCAGGAAGAAAGCCTCAGCTTCCTCACCTGACAATGAGGACGGCAATAAAATGTTATGAGACTGTGGATTCAAAAGCATGGATGATTAAGAAGTTCCGGAGCTGGATGGTGGTGACAATTGCAACATCATGAATGGACTTAAAGGCACTGAATTGTATACTTAAAATGATTTAAATGATACGTTCGGTCTTATGTATATCACAGCACTAAATTGTATACTTAAAATGATTTAAATGATACATTTTGTCTTATGTATATCACCCCACTGAATTGTACACTTAAAATGATTTAAATGATACATTTTGTCTTATGTACATCACAGGCACTGAATTGTATACTTAAAAAGATTTAAATGATACATTTTGTCCTATGTATATTTTGCTGCAATTTTTAAAGGGGGAGAAAAGCTTATAGAAAATGGCAGTGTTCTGTGTAGGTGTTGTTTATTTATTTAGAAGGCTGAGGGGGAGAGGCTTGTGCTGAAAGCTTGGAGAGATAAGGGGCTGAATGATAGGAGTTTGAGGTGTTGAGAAAGCTCAGAGGCAAGGAGGCCACACACTGCTCAGGTAACAGGTCCAGGCTGGTCCCTGACAAGTGTTGTAAGATATAGGAGTCAGAACTGACTGTGGCCCAGCAATCAAAGTGTCTTCTTTTGTTGGGGAGGCTAAAGGGAGAAGGGGAGGCAGCGACTTCTCAGAAGCAGCACCGCCATCCTCACCTAGGCACAGGGTCCTCTGAGTAGCAAATGAGAAACTGTATGTGAAAACCCTCAGTGAAATAGTGCATCCTGGAGGATCACGAGGTAGACCACCATTAGTGTCCCTCTGACCTTACAATCTTGCATTGTAGTAATTAATACAATATGAAATCATTTTTATTTTATTGAGGAGAATTTGGAAAATGTAGAAAACCATGGAATAAAATTAAAAATTACCATTCTTGGCCAAGCCAACGTGGCGAAACCCATCTCTACTAAAAATACAAAAATTAACCGGGTATTGTGGCCCATGCCTGTAATCCCAGCTACTTGGGAGACTGAGGCAGGAGAATCGCTTGAATCCAAGAGGCGGTGGTTGTGGTGAACCAAGATCATGCCATTGCACTCTAGCCTGGGCAACAAGAGTGAAACTCTGTCTCCAAAAAAAAAAAAAAAGAAAAAACCCACTTGCAATCCCACCACCCAGATAACTGCTAGCATTTATTTGGGTCTGTTTAAAAAAAAAAAAAAAAAAAAAAAGTATGTCTTATTCTATACACAAATCAATGCACACATATATATGCCTTTTTTTTTTTTTTTTTTTTCTCCTGAGAGGGAGTTTCATTCTTGTTGCCCAGGCTGGAGTGCAATGGCAGGATCTCGGCTCATCGCAACCTCCATCTCCCAGGTTCAAGTGATTCTCCTGCCTCAGCCTTCCGAGTAGCTGGGATTACAGGCACCCACCACCACGCCCGGCTAATTTTTGTATTTTTAGTAGAGACGGGGTTTCAACATGTTGGTTAAACCGGTCTTAAACTCCCGATCTCAGGTGATCCACCCGCGTTGGCCTCCCAGAGTGCCGGGATTACAGGCGTGAGCCACCACGCCCGGCCTATGTATATATACCTTTTTAATTTTTTACTTATAAATCTATTCTGAACATTTTCTTTAATCAATACAATTCTATAGAACAATTATTTATTTATTTATTTTAAGACATGACCTTACTTTGACACCCAGAATGGAGTGCAGTGGCACCATCACGGCTCACTGTAGCCTAGACCTCCCTGGGCTCGGGTGATCTTCCCACCTCACCTTCCTGAGTAACTTGGGCTGCAGGCGTGCACCATCATACCTGGCTAATTTTTGTATTTTTTGTAGAGATGGGGTTTTACCATATTGTCCAGGTTGGTCTCGAACTCCTGGGCTCAAGCAATCTGCCCATCTTAGCTTCCCGAAGTGCTGGGATTACAGGCGTGCACCACCACACCTGGTTAATATATTTAAATGTGTGTGTGTGTGTGTGTGTGTGTGTGTGTGTGTGTCTAGAGACATGGTCTCATTGTGTTCCCCCAGGCTAGTCCTGGCTTCAAGTGATCCTCCTGCCTCAGCCTCCCAAAGTGCTGGGATGACAGGTGTGAGCCCCAGCTCCCAGCCTTCACTGACATTCTGATTAGCAAGCTGGTTTTCCCCTACTCCTGCCTTCCAACGTGGCATCCACTCTCTAACCCTCCCACCACCTACCCAGTTTCCTTTGAATTAGATGGATGCTTAATAACTTCTCTAGGATACGGTTAGTGACAAGAGAAATAACGCCCTTCGGATGAAATTGGCCACACCCTGAAATTATCTAAGTCAGGAACATTTAGCAAACACTTAAAAAATTCCTCTGCTGTGCCTAACGTTTCATGAAATGGTGGATGTACAAATATTAACGTGATACGCCCCCCACCCTCAGGAGGTGCTCAGCTCAGTGGGGAATGTGGACACACAGGTGGGTTGTCTGGGGCAGAGTCTGTGCACTGAGCTGAAGGCATGCCACGCCATCCGCTGAAGTTGTCCCGTTTAGAAACATCTGTGGTTTCACGTTGCTCTGAATGACACGTGATGTGGAAAGAACTGGCTGTAAGGCATACAGCAGGAAAGCAGATTGCACAGCTTGGATGGCACAATCCTATCAGGACGGGGCACCAAGACCTGTCCTGTGTGATCGTTTCTATAGAAACAACAATAGTGACACCTAGCACCTCTTTCACTCCCACAGATAATCAGTGCCCAAAGCCCATCCTTTCTCTGCCCTCCTTCAGTCCCTTGTAGGTGCTGTGCTCCCTCCTGCCCCAGGGCCTTTGCACAGGCCACGTCCTACCCAGAACCTACTTCCTGACCCCTTTGACTGGATACGTCTTTCTCAAGTTGCAGATCTTGGCTCAAATATCACTTCCCCAAACGATGTGGAGGAATATATACATCAATATATCTTTTGTGTTCCCCCAAAAGATATACTGAAGTCCCAGCCCCCGCCCCCACCATAGCTGTGAAACTGACCTTATTTGGAAATGGGGTCTCTGCAGATATAATCTAGTTAAGATGAGGTCATGTTGGAGTAGGAACCCTACATCCAATGACTGGAGTTCTTATAAAGGAAAGAGATGTCTGGACACAGAGACAGAGGGGAGAAGTTCATGTGACAGCAAAGGCAGAGACTGGAGTGATGCATCTACCACCAAGGAATCCCAAGGTCTGCCAGCAATGCCAGATGCTGGGAGAGGGCCAGGAAGAGCCTCCCCCAGAGCCTCCAGAGGGTGCACGGCCCTGCCTAACCTCAATCTCGATCTTCTAGCCTCCAGAACTGTGAGAATAAAATCCTGTTGTTTCAAGCCCCTCAGTTTGTGGTACTTTGTCATGACAGTGCTGGAAAACTAACCCACAAAGCAAGGCTTTCTCCACCTCCCCAATTAGAACACGGGGTTCCCCTCCGAAACACTTGTTATGGTTGTATTTATATATTCATTGTGTCATTTAACTACCATCTATCTCCCCGACCAGGCTATCAGCTCCATGAAGGCAGCATCTTTCCCTCCCCAGGGCCTGGTGTATAAGATCGGAATAGTTCCTGAATGAACACGTGGCTCATGGGGCAGGTATCCCCGCCTGGCCACGTGCTAACATGCGGGCGACACAGGAGGGGACTGGATGAGAATTTCAGAGTCTGGTGCCGCCATCCACTCGTGGTCCTGAACACTCCACTATGGGACTGCTTTGGTGACATGACTTTGCAAGCAATGCTTCATTTAATCCTCATAACTTAACCCACTGATCCCAGCATTATTCCTACTGTATGATACAGAAATTAAGGGTTGCCGGAAGTTATGGTACCAGTGAATGGCAAAGCCAGAGTTTGAATTTAGATGTGTGGGACTCCACAGCATATGGTGCAAACATCAAGCACCTTCCAGAACTCTTGCTCCGTTCTGTTGGCTACGCCAGGTCCTACGCTGCAGGGTAACTGCGTGTGGTTAAGCTTGTCATTCAAATTTGCAAAGACAGTGTGCAGGTGGGATCATCCCTGGACCTGGCGCCTCATTTGCTCAACGCTCTGCATCTGGGGTGTGGAGCCTTCTAGGTAGTAAAACCCTTCATATCAATTGCCTGCTTAAATCCCGCTGCTCTGGAGGTAGAATACCCTCGGTGCTATGCCCACTGCTGACATCCCTACTGCTCTCACCCCACACGTTCACCTCACAGCATACCCCGGACCCTATTCTAGCCACCTGGTGTTATGTGTGATCCCCCAAAGAGCTGCCTCAACACCTCCCCACAGCAGCTTGCTGAATCTGCCTTTTTTTTTTTTTTTTTTTTGGATTCTTGTTTTCCTTGCAAGAACAAAAGGTTCTCTAGAATCCTTCAGCCACCAACGAAATGATCAGGCAGGAGAAACACTTTAGATGGGAGTCTTGTCAATAAAAATAAATACAGTTGCATGAAGCTGCTTAAGATCTGAACCAAACACTAAAAATAGGAAGACAGGGGCTAAAAAGTTATTTTAAGAACCCCCCAACCACAGTCACTCTGCGGGCTGAGCGGGGGAGCAGGAAGCATGTCTGGTCACACCGCCTTGGAATCAGAGCCCATGGCTGGATGGATTGGATTGGCTGATGGCGCACATGGAACTGAACTTGAACAAGACGCTAGCGCTGGGGGGTGGGGCTGCGGGTGTGGTGGGAGGCGCCGTCCTCACTGCTGCAGCTCCTTCATTCTGTTGAGGGCACTGCCGGCATGGAACCACTTGATCTGCATCTCGTCGAAGGTGTGGTTCAGGAGGATGGTCTCCTGGGTCCCATCAGGGTGCTTGATAACGCACTTCAGGGGCTTGCCAGGGGCGAAGTCCTTCAGGCCCTGAATGGTCAGCTTGTCCACAGGGTGAACCTTGTTTAGTCGGCTGGGTCAGCGAAGGTCAGGGGCAGCTGCCCCTGCTTCTTCAGGTTGTTCTCGTGGATCCTGGCAAAGCTCTTGGTGATGATGGCCTGGCCCCAGAGGTGGTGAAGCTCTAGCGCTGCATGCATGCTCCCGGTTCGGGCCCTCGCCATAGTTCTTGTCCCTGATCACCACTCACCCGATGCCATGTTTCTTGCAGTAGCGGGCAGTGTCAGGGACGGGACCAAACTCCTGGGTGACGGCACTGCACATGGAGTTGGCCTGGCTGTTTTCAGTGTTGACGGCACCAACAAGCAGGTTGTTGGAGATGTTGTCCAAGTGCCCACAAAACTTGAACCGGGGCCAGCAGGCGACATGTGGTCAGTAGTACACTTCCCTTTGACCTTGATGAGGATCTGCAGGTCCTCCAGGTCCTTGCCATCCCACCTGTCAAAAGGCTCCAGAAGCTGCAGGCGCTGACTGGTGGGGCTCACATCCACGTGCTGTCCGCTGCTGTCCTTGTGGGGGTGCTGGTAGGTGTCCTGCCTGGGGTCAAACTCCGCTTGGGGAAGCTCATCTGCATCCGGAGCCTCCAGCTTGAACTTCTTCCCATCCTTGCCCAGCAGGTAGTCAGTCACTGGGTTGAACTTGAGGGTTCCCGCAATGGCCAGGACTGTGACAATCTCTGGGGACGTGACAAAGGCATGGGTCTCGGGGTTCGTGTCACAGTGGCCCATGAAGTTCCTGTTGTAGGAGGTGACGATTGTGTTCTTCTTCCCCTTCTGGACGTCCTTCCTGTCCCAGCGGTCAATGCAGGGGCCACAAGCATTGGCCGGGACGACAGTGAACTGGGACTTGCACTTGAGGTCATGCGCCAGTGCCTGCTTGGCCACAGCTGCTGAGCGCTCCAGATCTTCATAGCTTGAATTGTTGCAGCTACCAATCAGACCCACTTGGAGGTCCAGAGGCCATTCTTCCTTCTCTGCCACCTTGCCCACTTCAGCCACAGGGCAAGTCTGGTCAGGGGTGAAAGGCCCATGGATGTGTGGCTTCAGCTCACTGAGGTTAATTTCAATTAGTTGGTCATAATGGCAGCCAGGGTCAGGCGCCCAGTGATCCTTGGAGTCATCAGCTAGATTGGCAATGTCTGCCCGGCCGGTCTTGCTTAGGTACTTCTTCATCCTGTGGTTGTAAGGGAACACGGAAGTGGTGGCCCCAATTTCTGCACCTATGTTGCAGATTGTCACCACGCCAGCACAGGAGACGGAGTCTACGCCAGGCCTGTGGTATTCCATGATTGCACCTGTGCCACCTTTCACCATGAAAGGTGCCTGCCACCTTCAGGATCACATCTTTGGGTGAGGTCCAACTGGAGAGGGAGCCCGTTAGCTTCATGCCAATCACCTTGGGGCACTTCAGCTCCCAGGGGATCCCAGCCATGATCTCCACAGCGTCAGCACCCCCAACTCCAATGCAGATGCCCCCCAGGCTGCCATCATTGGGGATGTGAGAGTCAGTGCCAATCAGAAGAACCCTAAGGTATGCATAGTTTTCCAGAATAATCTAGTGAATGATTCCAGATCCAAGGCTCCAGAAGTCCACACCATATTTGACACAGGCAGTTGCCAGGAAATTATAAACTTCCTGGTTGATGTCCTTGGCCTGGCACAGGTCTTTCTCGTCCCCAAGCTGGGCCTCTATCAGATGGTCACTGGATGGTGGATGGCATGGTCACCTTGGGCAGTCCACTGCTGATGAACTGCAGCATGGCCACGCGGTCCAGCCACAGCCACAGGTATGTCTTGCCCTGCTCAATTTCCTGGCTGGCCAGGTCATCCAGGTGTCCATACACAATCTTCTCCAAGAGGATCAGAGGCCGGTTCAGTCGTTTGCGAACAATGTTAATGTTCTTCTCTAGCAGGTCATAGTGGATGTACTCGTTGGCCTCAAAGTAGCTCGTCGCCATCTTGGCCCGTTGGCACAGGACTGAGGCACAGGACTGAGGCCGCACACCCAGAGCTTTCTGCAGTCGGGTCACCAGTAGGCCGTAGGGCGCCATTTTGTGCACTGACAAAGATGAGGGTGTGTGAATCTGCCTCCTTATCAGTGATGTCACTCTCTCCGGTTGGCTGCTCTAGGACACCATCCCTAACCCCATCTGGTTAGGGATGAGATGAGACGCCTCTTCTCACTGCTGTCACATCAGCCTGAGCAACCTCATTGCCCGGACTCTCTGTCACTTGCTCATTGCCCACCAGACATCCAGGACCTCTGTGTGGCTGGCAGATGGGTGAGCATGAAGTGTGCGGATCTGGGAAGCCTCTGGGCTCTGGCACCAGACACACCTGGGCTTGATTCCCGCCTCCTCCTCCGGTTGCCGGCTAGAAACCCTTTCACCAGACACCTAGGTTGCTTCAGGTTCATTTTCCTCATCTGCAAAATGAACATCCTCTTACTCATCTTGCAGGGATGATGGAAATACTGAATTTTATCTACAAATAATTGCATATATTAACAATGCCAGCCACATAGTAAATTTTCATTCCTTGCATATGTCGCCACCTAGTGGACATCTTTAATCAATAAGATTAAATCCGCTTGGACATTCCAGCACGATTTCATACTCCTCCTTTCCATCCTGCCATCCTCAGCAAGTGGCTGGATACACCTGGACTGGTGCTGTCCAGACTACAGGCCGCCAGTCCCATGTGGCTGCTGACCACTTCAGCTGTGGCTAGTTGGAACGGAGACACACCCTTAGTGTAAAAGGCATACTGGGTTTTGAAGACTTAGTAGGAGCAAAAGAATGTAAAATACTTAAACAATCTTTGTTTTTTTTTTTTTTGGAAATGGACTTCCGCTCTTGTTGCCCAGGCTGGAGTGCAATGGCACAATCTCGGCTCACCGCAACCACTGTCTCCCAGGTTCAAGCGATTCTCCTGCCTCAGCCTCCAGCGTAGCTGGGATTACAGGCATGCACCACCATGGCCCCGGCTAATTTTGCATTTTCAGTAGAGATGGGGGTTTCTCCATGTTGGTCAGGCTGGTCTTGAACTCCCGATCTCAGTATCCGTCCGCCTCAGCCTCCCAAAGTGCTGGGATTACAGGCGTGAGCCACTGCGCCCGGCCCCCAACAATTGTTTTTAATATTGATTACATTATTATAATCATTTCATATTTCTTTTTACCTTTTTAAATGAGGCTGCTAATGGCCGGATGCAGTGGCTCATGCCTGTAATCCCAGCACTTTGGGAGCCAAGGCAGGGTAATCACCTGAGCTCAGGAGTTCGAGACCAGCCTGGCCAACATGGCAACACCCCGTCTCTACTAAAAATACAAAAATTAGTGGGGTGTGGTGGTGCGCACTTGTTCCAGCTACTTGGGAGGTTCAGGCAGGAGACTCGCTTGGGCATGAGAGGCAGAGGTTGCAGTGAACTGAGATCGGCTGAGATCATGCCACTGCACGCCAGCTTGGGCGACAGAGCAAAACTCCACCTCAAAATAAATAAATAAATAAATAAATAAATAAATAAATAAATAATAAATAAATAAAAATAAATAAAAGCAGCTGCTAAAAACTTTAAATTGCATATATGGCTCAGCTTTGGGACCTGCATCATATTTCTTTTGGACAGTGAGTGCTATTCTACTCTCAAAAAAGAATTTGGAGGCTTGTGTCAATTCATTCACTAAGTGTGTGTGTATGCAGGCGAGTGTTTCAACCCTCATGATTGACACTTTTCGAAGAGGCCACAGATAAGGAGCCAAACTGTACCCAGAGATGTTCCAAGCTGGATAACTGTGTGTCACAGAGAGGCTTCAACAAAAAGAGGAGTCAAAGTCACTTGTTCTGACGTTTTGCCCTGCCTCTCTGGACTTTCCCTGCGTGCAGCCCAATTCTTCACATCTTGGAAGGTGGCTTAGGCTTCTTTCGCAATCTCTAGCCTCAGATCCATTTGCTCATGTGCAATCTAGCAGTCAAGTGTCTAGTGCTGTTTTTGTTTGTTTGTTTGTTTGTTTTTGAGACAGAGTCTCGCTCTGTTGCCCAGGCTAAAGTGCAGTGGTGTGATCTCGGCTCACTGCAACCTCTGCCTCCCAAGCTTAAGTGATTCTCATGCCTCAGCCTCCCGAGTAGCTGGGATTACAGGCATGTATCACCACACCTGGCTAATTTTTGTATTTTTTAGTAGAGATAGGGTTTCACCATGTTGGCCAGGTTGGTCTCGAACTCCTGGCCTCAAGTGATCTGCCCCCCTTGGCCTCCCAAAGTGCTGGCATTACAGGCATGAGCCGCTGTACCCAGCCTCATGCTGTTTTTGTTTGTTTTGAGACAGGGTCTCACTCTGTTGCCCAGGCTGGAGTGCAGTGCCGTGATCATAGCTCACTGCAGCTTCGAACTTCTGGGCTCAAGCAATCTTCCTGCCTCACAAGTAGCTGAAATTAGAGCCATGTGCCACCATGCCTGACAAATTTATTTTTAATACAGATAGGGTCTCACTATGTTGCCCAGTCTGGTCTTGAACTCCTGGACTCAAGTAATCCTCCTGCCTCTGTCTCCCAAACAGCTGGAATTACAGGGTGAGCCCACCACACCCGCCCAGCCTGTGCTGTTGAGGTGGAAAGGGCTTCGGATTTTCCCAGATGCTTTCAACAAGAAGCAGTCATCATGCAAGCTGGGAAAACATCCACCTGGCAGATGTAAACGCTGAGGTCCAGAAAGCAAAGGCTGGTGTATTAGATCATATCGTATACGTGGATGAAAAATGCTTCAGTCTACCTCAAATTTAAAAAGCAATTTTCTGATTCTGGGAATCATGGCTTGGAGGCATTGTGACTCACCCTTGCAAATTTCTGAGAAATTAGTCCGTAAAGACCAGAAAGCAAACGTGAGAAGATACAATTAAAGAGGCCACTGATTGGGATAGAAGGCTTATTTACATCAAGAGTCTTTCAAAGAAAAGAGAGACCAAGCAGTCAGTTGAACATAAAAAAAAAAAAAAAAATTAGAAACAAGGCAAAGACAAGTGACCAGACTAGAGGATACATCAAAAAGTCAGAAAGATAACGAAAGATGAGAATCTAATTGTGGAGTGTACAGGTTTAGATTAATTATTAAAAGCTCCACACACACATTTGGAGAGAAAAAGGAGAATGCAAATTCAGAGAAAAACTCAAAGTCCTCAGTTATTTCCTCTCCATCTCCCTCGGCCTCAGTTTCCCCATCTTATGAAACCAGATAATCTGTAAGGCTCCTTTCAAATCCATATTTGTAATTCTACAAAATAAATAGCTACATGAAGATCTTTTACTTCTCAGTTTTTAATCTCCAAAATTTCATAGCCAATTCTTGTAGAGAAAATAAAAATTGCATATGAGCAAGAAAGGCTAATTAAAATAATCTTACCACCTAGAGATAGCCACTGTGAACATTTTAATGTATATTCTTCCCTATTCATATAGATATACATAGAAATAATATCGTATAAATTTTGTTTTGGCCTTTTGTTGTCAATGAAATATTGCAAGGATATTTTCCTGTCTTGGTTTCCTTTCCACATCATTGTTTGTGACCGTTGCCAGGTATTTTGGTCTAAATGAAAGTATCAGGGTATAATATTAGTTGCAGTGAAAATGCAAGTGTCTCCAGATTGGGAGAGATGAAGAAAGTTGAGAAAAACAACACTTTTCCTTGCACGATGCCTTCTACTTTACAAAAGACTTGTATAAAAGCTTTGTAATCAGCTGGGTGCAGTGGCTCACACCTGTAATCCCAGCACTTTGGGAGGCCGAGGCGCGCGGATCATTTGAGGTCAGGAATTCGAAACAGCCTGGCCAACATGGTGAAACCCCATCTCTACTAAAAATACAAAAATTAGATGGGTGTGGTAACGCATGCCTGTAGTCCCAGCTACTTGGGAGACTGAGGCAGAAGAATCGCTTGAACCCTGGAGGCGGAGGTTGCAGTGAGCCAAGATCACGCCTCTGCATTCCAGCCTGGGGGACAGAGTGAGACTTCATCTCAAAAAAAAAAAAAGCTTTGTAATCTACAAAGTGTTTCTGCATCTTCTCTTAAGACTGCCCAACTAGCAGTGCCTAGCATATGGGAAGCATCAATAAGTGTTATTAAATAAATGGGAAATCAAACAAATATGCATTATCATATATATCCTTATAAAACTGGGATTTGATGGGCCTCATTCTCATAATTTTATGAATTTTAAGGCTACCTCTATTACCTTGATAAAATCCATTATCATTTACATAGTATCCACACAGACTGATCTCATTTGAGCCTCCCAGCCACTCTGTAACTAACTAGGGTAGATAGCGTCAGTCTCATTAAAGAGAGGCCAGAGGCTGCGGCGGAGATAATCACGGTTAGATGGTCAATCAGTGGAAGAGCTTGACCTTAGACTCAAACCCGTGACACTTTCAGCTGCTTCCTGACCATGACAAAATGTCCCGCCCTACCTTTATTTAAGCAGTTTGCGGTATAGTGAGGCAGAATCACCAGTGTGCAGGTAAATGTTTAACATTCAGCCCTCGGGGAGTGGAGGGAGCCCTGGTTTGTGGAGTTTGCTGATTTCTCTGGTGTGAATACTCCTACATGGCAGATTTGAAACTACCGACGCAACGTGATGACGTCATTGTATAGCGACCTGCACAATCAGCTCACAGGTGCCAGAGGGCTCCAACGCATCCCTGGGTGGAATGAACTTTCTTTCCACCTGATTGTTAAGTCCTGGAGGCCAGGAACCACATCTCTTTGTAATTTTCACTGTCCAATGCACACAGACGGCAATACATCAGCCAGCATTTAGGCTCAACATCATTGCCCAGCCTGGGTTTCTCACTCTCTGGTTTCCTCACCTGCCAGCCCTCTTCCCTTGGACCTAGTGAAGTACTTGGAGACAATCCTGTCCCCTTTACCATTTCCCTTTCCTTCCTCTCCGTTCACCTCCCGGTCACAGCCTGAGGCAGAGTCACGGGCCCAAAGCAAGAAGAGAGGCCGTGGGAACCTTAGGATCTCGCGAGGTTTTGTTTGTTTGTTTGGCTTTTGTTTGTTTGTTGAGACAGGGTCTTGCTCTATTACCCAGGCTGGAATGCAGTGGCATAATCACAGCTCACTGCAGCTTTGACCTCTCGGGCTCAAGCACACCACTATGTCTGGCTAATTTTTTTTAATTAAAAATTTTGTTTTAGAGACAAGGTCTCGCCATGTTGCCCAGACTGTTGGATCTCATGCTTCGTGGTCTTTTAAGACCAAGCTTAGCGTCTTCTTCCTGTCCTGGAGTTCTGGCACTCACCTTCTCAAAACGCCTGGGCAGCTGCTTCCATGGGGGCCAGCGGGAGGGACAGAGGGAGCAGATGGGAGACGGCTCT